ATTCTGAATTTATTATAGAAATGAAATAGCATGTGAATGTGGACAGCTTGTACAGAAAGTCAAATAAAGCGACTTGGACGGATATTTCTGTTTCGAATTTTTTAAAATGCTACTAAATATTAAACACCTATTGCAAGGCAATTTCACAGTCTCTTGCCGGTAAAGTTGAATCAACATAAAGGTGGACCGATTATTTATTTATGCTGATGATAAATTCCAAGAATTCCTGAAACAATACCCGTTTTCACTTTATAAGTTTAAGGGGAAGAAAAATGTTGGTACGATAATTAAACTAATTGACAACAATTTATATGCAATAGCGAGAAAAAAACATGTTAAGATAATATTTACGGTGGAAACGTTTTTAGTACAGTGTAAATATATCCGTAGAGAGGAGTGAAATTGACAATGCATTAATGACGCTAATGAAACCCCCCCGAGAGAGTTTTTTAACAGCTATAAACACTTAGCAGATTAAACCCAAACATAATTAACATATTTCTCACAAATTATTAAACTTATTTATCGCAGTTCTCAATGTTTTTAAATAACTAGAAAAATAAGTTTTTAAAACAACGAGAACAAAAATTTAACTCCTCTCCCCGACGGGGAATTGAACCCCGGTCTCCCGCGTGACAGGCGGGGATACTAACCACTATACTATCGAGGATGTCGATAAATGATCTATAAAATAATATCTTATAGATCTGTTAATGTGTTAAAAATAAGTCATGAATGATTTCACACTGGCTATTTAAAGAAACACCACTTGCCTTAAACAAAAGCATTTGTATTTATACATACATTAAACGGTTTTTTATAGGGTTATATCTCTTGATAAAAACAAAAATTGCATAAACTGTTAGATCGCCACTTTCGGCCAAGTCAATAGGTTGTCTTTTTTTAGCATACTTTACGTATATTGAGTTGGTTGACCTGTTGACTGGTAGCTGTGGCTGTAACTAGCTGACAAAAACAGCTTTCGATTTCAGAATTAGCTTTGGGTTCCTCTCCTCCAGCTCTGCCCCAGATCTGTCAATCAGTGAGTAATCTTTTCAGCTGTTGGCTGCCACTGAAAAGTTCGACATGCAATTAAGTCAGCTAATCTGTGATGTCATGCTTGCATGCAACCGGGTCGCATTTTCACCATTGAAAATGTTGAAAATTCATATTCGTTGTCCTTGCATACATAAGTCCTGCACACACATGGACCTTTCTCATAATTCAGAACGGTTTAACACCATTCATTAGCATGCAAATTTGAAAATATTTCAGCTGCTGGGTAAAGTCTCGCCTCGAAACTAGTTCCAGTCTCATTTCTGTTCTCTCAAAGAGGGATATTTGGGTGTGCGCAACCGATGCACTAACTGCATTAGCTCGCATGACAAACTTTGTCACACAAATTATACACAGTTGCTATCTGAGGAAACTACTGCAATATTTCGAGTTTAACGTGTGAAACTCTGTTACCAGTGGGTTGCTGTAATTTACTGCGGGTAGCATATGCTGTAATAACTATTTATTGTTTTGAACCTTTAGGTATTATATTACGAAGTGCATTTGCAATAAATTGAACTTTGAGAACTGAGTTATTAAACTGAATTACAAATTGTAGAAGCTAAGCAATAAATAGTTATACTATTCAAAATGGTTCCTGCAAAGTAAGCTAGGAACTTGCGCCTGTAAAGGAATGCGTCTTGCTTAAAGGAATTTAATACTGACGACAGTTGAGGACATTCAGAAATATTCTCTTACTTCTTCTTCTTAGCAAAGAAATCACTTGGAAACGGTTGGGCGGGGACTGCTATCAATTTGTTTACATAAACTCATTTTTGCGGATCCTAAAAATTAATCTAAGTGTAGCCCCAAACACATATATTGGCAATTTCGCGAGGCTTACAGCATCCAGCTAGCAATTTTAATAAAACACCAAAGTGCACTTATACAAAATGCTCGAGGCACTTTACAGTTGCTTCTTGAAAATATTTGAAACTGGGGAAGCATTATACATTATTGAATAAAAATTTATGTTGCCTTACACAGCTGAAGATTTAAATGGATTTTTGTTAAAACGAAAATGTTATCATGTGCCAAAATTTTCCCCAAGACAATACGTCAATGATTACATACTGACTACTTCTCATATGCATATATGCGTTGTTAATAATTATAATGAAGACAAAGTCATCGAATTCTCGTCACTTAATGTTTGTATGCATGCCTTTTTTTTTTTGCAAAATTGTAATTATATTACGAAAGGTGTTCATCGGACTGTCAAAATACAAAACTTGAAAGAAAGCTGACAAATCTAAACAGATTTATATAATGTTTTTGTTATTAACTTGTATGTCCTCAAACGAAAAAGTAAAAGGTTTACATTGCGGTTGACAGTTAAAGTCAAACTATTCTGAATTCGAGCAGGATTTACTCAATAAAGCATTTTCTCTTTATTCGGTATTCAAGCTATTTGTACTATGCAAATATTTGACCAGATTACGCAATTAAAATTTGCATAATAAACTGTAGTTAAATTATGTGTTGTTTAGATTGCTAAATTGCCAAAAGGCTATTGGTCACGCCCTTAAAAGCAAATGCTTGCAAACTAATCAACACATGCATATATTGCCGTCATAGTCGAAAAGTCCTTTACGAAAATAATGACTTAAGACAGTATATGACATTGATGGAATTTTTCTTCTATACTACCAACACTCTCTCTGACAGTTTCAATTCTCTAGCTTCAACAATTACGTTCATATGAACAGACAACAAACATTTTAACTTTGTGCAAAGCAAAAAAAAAAACCGCTGTTCATAGCAGAGCAAGGTTTCGATCCTCGGACCTCTGGGTTATGGGCCCAGCACGCTTCCACTGCGCCACTCTGCTATATGGAACTCGGCAAGCAATCGTTCAAATGTAAAACGCCTGCTATAAATAGAGCTTTAAGTCCAAACTAGTGCTAGTGAACTTTAAATATATAAATTGCTGCTAGTGTTTATCTAAGAAGCAAAAATTACACTTTTAAATGGTGTTTAAGTTTTCTTTTGTTTTGACCCTTTACTCGGCGCAAAGTTTTTGCTTTTGTTGCAGATTATCCAAATGACGTATATGATGTGCCGTAAGCAAACAACCATAAAAACCATTAAGAATGTAAACTCATGAAGGTCGAGAAATTAATAAGATATTTTCAGTGTTGTTTCTGAAAGTATTTAAATCATCTAGTCAGGTTTTATCCTAATTGCGCCACGGTACACAAGTGAGTTTTCATTTATTTTCACTCTCAGAAAGCATAAAGTTTTCTGTTCTGAATTCACAATGTGTAAGTATGTCGCCATGCATGTTCGCGTTTCGTATAATTCGCCCTTAGAATTGGCTCAGCCTTGGGGCTGATAAGTTAAGAAAAGAGATGTTTCATGTCTAAAGCATTTTTGCTGTTGACACATTTAACCACTTAGTTCTGTGCCACCTTATAAATATTAATTGACTGTCAGTATAAGGTATTTATTGTAGTTCAAGATTCTTACTGCATTTAAAGGGTGTGAAAACGTAACAAGTGTAATTATCTTTCTTCATATATTGTCTCTCCCATTAAATATCCCCAACCTCACTTTCTGCTATACTAATAAAAATGTGTTAAGCCTTAAGCTTTAAGGTGTGACCTGGTACATGTAAGTGAACCAATTTACCTTTTTCGGATGAGCTTCAATGTCAAAGCAAGAATGCTAAACAGATCAAAAGAGCAGTTGCATCAATTGCCTGCCAGTCTGCCCTCGTCTGCTTTGAGCGTTGATTGGAAGTTTCAAGTGAGAGGTAAACAAATTTCAAGCTCAGCAGCCGGCCGACAACTGACAGCAGCCCCCAGAAAAATAAAAGGAGCCGACAGGAAAATGTACACACGTGCCGAAATTCGATTTTACGCTTATTTACATATGCAGGATATGTGCTGAACCGAAACGTGCATATATAAGTTTATATATGTATTTGTATGTAAATTTATGTTTGACTATAAGCATTTAAATAATGATGCTTATTTTATCGTATGTGAATTTTATTTCAGACAACTGTTGCCGTCCCCTTTTCATTGTATCTGTCTTATCAAATGTTTAGTTTATTTTTTATTCAAATAGATAAATATAAGCTGTGCTTTAATGAGTATGAAATGTTTAGACTGATTATCTAGTGTGATTCTCTCTATACCAAAATGTGGGAAGCAATAAACATGCGTTTTTGGAACGTTCGGATATTCTATATATAAGATAATGTAAAACAGAAATATAGTTTTCAGCATGCTAAATTTAGATTTAAGCCGTCTAATGACATTGGAAATAAGTTTTATAGTTTCTAAATCATTTTTGTTTTGTGTGCGTTGAACGTGGCGTATGAGCAATAAACTTAACGTCAAAATTAGGTTTACTTCATGCACCGTTAAATGACAACAATGGCAAAATTGTTTTCAGCAGGGTCAACTTCCAGCTGTGTTCTATTCCCGTATCATCGGTGGGTAATGAATATTTAACCAAATTGACATTTGATCGATGACATAGTGACAGACGACTAGGACCACATACCTGTGGTTAGTATTTGTCTACGCCCCAAATGTAGAACAGCATCATGTAACCAGGTCGGGCAACGGCCAAACCTACCTCACGCAGCACGACCTGTTTCCATTTTTTGGTTGCCCCCAGTTATGGCAGCATCACACGTAGCTACCGGAACGTGATACATGGCGCTACGCCTTTGTTCCACTTGGATGTTAGCCCCTGCCTGTGACCCGTTCTGCCATAAAATGGATAATGTGCTGCGGCGTAGACGTAATAATTTGACAGTTGGATTTGTGGTAAGCTTTGTTTCCATATAACTGTCAGCCATACAGACTACAAAGATGTTCCTTAAATAATTATACTATAGCCCTACTTTATTTGAATGACATAAATTTGATCATTGTTGTAAACTAATTTATTTTTGGTGAACTTTTTAAACATATTTACCAAATAAATTGTCTCATATTTCATTTGCTACTTTCAAGCAAATAGTGTTGAGCATCTAAATTCATTGTGCTGTTCATTTATCTGTTAATATTTTAGGTCTGATCATCATCTGCACGGATTGCAGGGTATACCCCGGTCCCTGCCACTCATCCCAAAATATGCCATACTCGGAATTATCATAATACTCGTCGCGCTTTGCGTACTGTCCGTTTAGATTGCTGAAAATAAAACAAAATACGTGACAAACGATAAGAGCATAACAAAATTTCCCATGTGATTATTGACCAACCTTAAGCCGCAGTTGTTGTACCACCAACCACCTAAACAGGTCTGGGCGCAGTTAAATTCGCTCTGGTCGTTATCCCTGTCATAGGTGGTGAACTTTTGGTGCTCATTATCGCGCATCGAGTCACCAGCATTGCCGGAGTACTCACCCAGCTCGGACAGTGCATATTGTTGGCTCTCGCCAGCGACAACGATCTTATCGTAATAGGCATGGCTGCTCTCATTGTTGAAATCGGTTAAGTGCACATATAATTCGTGTGGCTGGGCCGTGGTTATGCGATGCAACTTATCGAGTCCAATGAAAAATTCGCCGCTCAAATTACCGAATCCCTTCTGGTATTCCAGCCAGCTTCGGTTAAATTTAACGCTCCCATCCAGGCGACGCTGCACAACAGTCCATCCGGGGCCATCCAAGCGGGAATCGCAGGACACCGGGAAGGCATCTCCTTCGTCTACCTTTATTACATGCACATCCGAAGAGTCTCCAAATGGCAGACAGCTATTGGCTTCAAAATCCGATATCGTAGTGGTTTCGAAATCTTTCAAATTGTTTAGCGTATCTGCAATGTCTTTTGTTTTGATATTCATGTTTAGGATTATTTGTGATTTGGCTGCGGCATCGTCTTTCAAAATTTCTATTTGCTTGGCCTGCTCGTTGATGATTGTCGTAAAGGTAGCTATTGTAGCCAGTCCTTCCTCGATCTGACGATCTTTTTCCGCCAACATGTCTGCATCTGAATTGGCCCTGTTCTGCAGCTCAATGATTTGCTCTGAGTAAATCTTGTTAAGTACCTCAAAAGCCGATTTCTGTTCTCGACACTTTAACAGCTCGTCATTTATTTTGATCTTCAGATCTTGCATTGTGGTTTCCTTTTCCATTATGATTGCTTCCTCGACCTTACTCTTATATTTCGCCTGCAGCTTTTCAATGTCGTAATATGAGTTTTTAAGCTGATTTTGTATTCTTAGTATTTCCAATAAATTCGCTTGTGCCGTGATTATATATAACACTGCAACTAGAAATAAAACACTTAATTTTTTCGTCATTCTGCCTGTGTTTTCTTTTCACTCGTATGCGACAACCGCTGCTTGAATCGCGCAACACAAAACTAAACACTAAATTGCTCGGCTCAGCAATGCTCAGCATTGAAAATAATATAAACATGCACGCATTTTTATTGTTTGAAATAAACGTATATAGATGTATAAATACATATATTATACACAGTGTTTATTTACTTTTGCTGCAGATAAGGGACTCCGAAACGAGAGAGCAGAAACGCTGTAGCACACTTTCACAAAACGTGGTTCAGATGTCATGTGTTATCAGTGGCTACTTAAAATATTTGTTTAAAATTAATTAGGGTGTAATTTACATGTGTTCTTCTGTTAATTAATATGTGAACCAAATCTCGTTTTCGATATATCGATGAGCTTGTGCACTATTTTCACTAATCTGCTTTTTGGTCGGATTTAATTATAATATAATAATATTAATAAACCCAAAAATACCACAGCCAGATATTTTCATTTCCAGCCTGAAAATTGGATTACTTCTCTTATAAACACTTACAGCTAAATGGTTTTTCATATCATCATTTTTATTGGACTTTCCTTTTTTTACAACAATAAACGAAAAAGTGCTGGGGAAAACGCATCTTGTTCATAAACTTCGTAGACAATAAGTCTGCTTTCTATTCCAACAATTCATAACCGCACTCTTGCATACAGTGGGTCCAACTTTTTGCCCCTCCTCGGTCTGACCCATTGATAAAGCTTTCTATTTCCACAACACACGGAACACGGAGCACGGAACTGGTGCTGGTTGCTGCTTTTATGCATAATTAAGAGCAATTAGGTGCACCTCCACCGCATGTGGTTGTCGACAACGATGCTCTGCAAACTGAGGGTGCTCCATTGCTGATGAAAGCAAAATAAAAAATTAATTAGACAAGTTTAAAGTAAAATCAATGCCTTCAGAAGATAAATATAATAATAAAAAATAAATTTTTATTTAAATACACTTAACACACCATTATAAGCGAAAAATATTTTTGAAATGATTCAATCCATTCCAACTAAATTTGGATACGAATGTGTTGTACCTGTCTGCATAAATATAACTAGAATAAACTTAGTATGACTATAAATTAAATCCATTGTAAAGAACCCGGAAACCCGGTTTGCTCGCAACTATATGTCCACGATTAGTTTGTAGGACAAACTTTGCTCTGTACGGGAACCCTTTAAAGTGGTTTTTACAGCTGCGAAAAAGACTTTGACCAACAACTGCTTTAATTTCGAATTTGCATTTTAATGAATGCCGCGGGCTACTGTACACATTTTAAACTTTATGCGTTTGTGGCCGTTGGTTGGGTTTTCACAGTTTATTGAAAGGCGACAGCTGTCACATCGAAAAGTTCAGGGCCAAGGGAGCAGTGTTTTAGCTGATATAGAAATGCAGTTTACAGCACATCTATTTTAGAAATCACGAATAATCGGAAGCAGAAGTAGAGTTGAAAAAATATATATTTTGAATAGTTTTTATTTTTATGTTCCCATTTCACTTTTTAAAAAGTTATTAAATGTAAGTCGTTTGGCTTTCATTTAAAGCTTGTTGTGTTAACATATTTAGCAGAAACAAGGGGGAAACTAAGAAGAAGTATTAAGTTCAGAAATATAAAGAAATATATTTATATATTTATGTATTACGACATCAGCTGTAAGGAATGTGTTTAATAATATATTTAAGTCTTTACAAAATTTATGCTCAACTATCGCTTAAATTTGAACTATGCTGCGTTTTTTTCGGTTGCCCTTTTAAGCTCCTAACCGCAGACTGAAATTGAAGTATGGCCAACAAAATTTTTTTATTGCTGTTCTTTCTTGTTGTAACTGCCAGTAGCTTGCTTTTGTTGTTAATTGCTTTCTGTTTCGTTGACGTGTTTTATTTATCGCCATTCCTCATGTAAGGCATTTGTATTCGGTCAAATAAATTCCCAGTTGACATGTATAAATGAAACAAAACTTGCAGCTGGTCTTTTAATGAAAATATGCCAACAATTGAATCTACTTCCTGCAAAGATTTTATTCACTTTGAATTTAATGGAAATTCAAAAGTCATAATATTGAATTGCAAAAAAGAGCTGAAATGAAAAGTACGCAAGAAAAAGGCTAAAATTAGGAACATTTTTGACATCTAACTAGGGTCACTCTTCCCTATTCCTCCATTTTCCCTTGGACTTTTCATGTAATTAGAGTACATTTAAAGTTTTGTTATGGAAATTGTTAAATCAACCATCTTTAGAATATTTTTCAATATTTACTGTGCTGCATATGTCAAGTTCATTTAAAATTGGCCTTTGAGTGCTTTGTGCAATAGTTCACGCAGTCAACTGTTAACACATTCACTTGGGGTTTCGGTGCCTTATTTCCCGACTCGTTTCTTCAAACACGTGACCTTTAAATTGTACTAATTGTGCATTCATGCGTTTCATAACCCAATGCTAGCCAACATTTACTCTTAACCAAAGTCAACGCAAAAAGTGAACCACATTCCAAACCAATGTCTTTTGGCATTGTTGAACCTGTCAGCAGCCTGGTCGGCAAGTTATATAAACTTCTAGTATGGTTAGCTAAATACACTTTCTGGGTTAAAAGTTAAAACCACTCTGTTGGGGATGTTAGCTTATGGGTGCAAATACGCTAGCGTCGTATAATAAATTGTACTCCTACTGGGAAAAGCCCATTTATGAATCAAACAAAAGTAATTATAAATAACAACAACAAAAGTAATGATATATTTATAGCAATAAAAATATTATATTATTATAATAAGCTAACATAAAAATTAATAATAAAATAACAAGAAATACCTGGCTGTACATCCTTCTGACTATATTCTATTTATTATATTTAATTATACACAAAATATTTTTACAGTCAACAAAGTTAATTTTCCTTTTACTAAATATCTGTAGCATACTTTTTTGCACTTTTATTTCTATCATAGTTAAATGCGCGAATGCGAAAATTAAATTGAATCATATTTAGGAGAGCGTTTGTTAAATGCCATTTAAGAACGCTAGAAGTAAATTGCAAATTGGGGAAAGTGGAAAACATTATATATGTTTTCTGAGCATGTGTAACCATTTTCTTAGCGCGTTTTGATTGCTTTTGAATCACTTTGAATGCCCACGTCTTTCATGCTGCACGTAGCACATAGCACTGCAATTATCCAGATGACTTAGCCAGAGAAGGCTACATACAAAAGCCTAACCATGAATATGTCTGTTTTTTGTTTTGAGATGCCACCAAAATGCATGAGCTACATTTGCCCGTCTCTGCTGCGAGTGCCTTTGGAATAGCAAATATGTGAATAAAGACATCAGAAATATGGCAGCGGCTTTGCTGAGGTTGTGGCAACATTTTACTCGCTCTATTCATGTCACGTTGTGGTTGGCTATGGCGTATACGCGATGTGGCAACATTTCAGATGAAAATGAATTCAGTTGCATTTACTTAAAGTGCAACATGAAGGCAAAGCTAACAACTGACTGTTACAAAAAGAGTATGTGCTTACGGATGAGTATGTTATTTGTTGACACTTTAAAATTTAAGACACAGCTGTTGGCTTATTGAATTAACATTCCCAGAAAATGTCGTTAGCAAAACGAATTACTCTGACATTTTTACAATCTTAATGGAAAAAAAAAGAAGAAAAGGGTTTACCTCGAGGTACCAACGAATGATTACCCTTTCAACTCAGAACTCTATCAAATTGCTGAGCTTATTGAGAATATTTGAAAACTTAGAAGTTACTTAAATTGAACTTTTACTTTTATAAAGTTGTTTCAAATTCACGATTCGTTTTTGTCATAACTTTTGAATGTGTCACATAGTGCATTCCGAAATTATGATACCTTCAGCAAAACAATGCAATACTATAGAACAAATACTCCAGGGTCTGGGCTTAATCCAAGAGCCATGTCCACAAATTTTACAAAATTATCTCGTGCTCCGTCAGCATGCCCCATAGTGACCCAATTCGCATTTTGGCCAGCATTGTTAATTAATTGTTCCGTCTCTCTCTTTCTCTATATCTCTCTCTGTCTTTGTGTCTATTTTTGTTGTGGCGCATTGTGGTTTCATTTGTGGTTAGTTAGTTGACTACCAGCTGCTCACTTACGTAGCTGCTTCGTCGTATCGAATGAGATTTTCGTTCCAATTTTATCTGTTTCGTATTTACCTTGCACTGTCAATCAGCTAAAAATGTAGGGCTGTTATTTGTTTTCTGCTGTTATTTGTTGTTTGTGTACTTTTAATTAATTTGGCTACATTTTGCAAAGCTAAATTAAATAGTTTTAAGTTTGAGATCTTTCTATTCAAAAGCATATTTTTTAAAGTAATAATACATTTCTTTGTCAATATGTATATATTGCGTGTGGCAACCACAGAGTACTTATTCAGAGCCGCCAAAAACAAGCAAACAAAAAGTTGACTAAAAATCGTTTTTTTGCATTTATTTTTGAAAATGTGATATTGGTTTTTGCTGCGGTCAGCAAAAATCTTTTCCAAGCTATCTGTGTGCGTGGGCGTGTGCGCGCATGTGTGCATTGTGTGCGAGTTTGCATATTTGCATAGCCAGCAAAAATGTGCAGCTGTCCTGGCAACCATTTGACGCACTTTGCCGCTCCATGACGCATTCAGAGCCATCTCGACACAAGGACATTGCGGATTTGCATGCATCCATTGAGTGCCACTTGTAGTTCACTTTGAGGTGTGTAGAACACCAATTTTTCGGCAAACCCTGCAAACATGGCCATTGGCTACAGCCACTCGCTGGACAAACAGCCTGCTATTTTTTTTTTTTTTGCCACGGAGTGTCGGTTGAAAACTCGACTACCTTGACATCAAACAGCCCGTTAAAGGGGTTGCACCAATTAGCACTTGTGAATGCGGCTGTATCCACGTAATGGCAACAGCCTTTTGGCAACTCAATGTTTAATTTAGAATCTAACAAGTGCGGGCGGATTGATAAAGCAGACGTCATATTATCCGAATAACAGAC